AACTTTAATTTCTGCTAAACAGCTTGACAGGGATGGCGGAGGAAAAGAACCAGTGGGTTTAGCAGACAGGTAAAAATGGGTGTCATCCGCATAGCAGTGAAAATGAATGCCATATTTCCTTAAAATATCACCAAGAGGGAGCATATAGATAATGAAAAGAAGCAGGCCCAAAACAGAACCCTGGGGAACACCAGTAGTAACTGTCGATATTCTAGAACTAAAACCTTTTAACTGAATACGCTGACTGCGTCCAGAGAGATATGACCTAAACCAAGACAAAGCAGTGCCAGTAATACCAATGGAAGCTAACCTGACAAGAAGTATCTGGTGTGAAACAGTATCAAAGGCAGCGCTCAAGTCTAGAAGGACAAGAATGGTTAAGAGCCCAGAGTCAGCTGCCAACAGTAGATCATTAGTTATTCTGACAAGTGCAGTCTCAGATTGAAATTGTTCATACACGTTATTATTGGAGAAATGTTCATGAATTTGAATTGCAACACACTTTTCCACTACCTTAGAGATAAATGGTAAATTTGAAATGGGACGAAAATTGTCAAAATTAAAAGGATCACACCCTGGTTTCTTAAGTATGGGTGTAATAATAGCAGATTTAAGAGATGGGGATACAAAACCAGAACCAAGTGAAGCGTGAACAATTTTAATGATCAATGGCAAAAGGGCTGGTAAACAAGCTTTCACTAGAGGAGTTGGTAGAGGGTCTAACTGACAGGTCGAAGATTTAGATTTACCTATCAGACCCACAATCTCTGTAGTAGTTGGTAGTGCAAAGGTAGAGAAGGCAGAGTGGAGAGATATGTGAGTGATAGGCTGACCGGAGTCATTGTGGAGAGTACCACTGAGTAATTGCTGATGTACATCTCCAACCTTAGATGTAAAAAAAAGTCAAAAGACGATCACATAAGTCAGTGGAATACAACTACACTACAGACAGTTTTGTGTCACAAAAGATGAAATTGATAGTATGGTGAGTAGTTAAAAGAAGACTGTTAAGTTGAAACAGGCGCTAGCCCGGCGGTGGTGGAGACAGCTGAGGCTGTAGCCAGTGACAGCCTGTTGGTGGTCGAGGCAATCAAGGCTGTAGAATCACAAGTCCTGTGATGAAGGCAGTTGAGGCCGTAGCAGACGACAAGTCCTGAGACGGAAGCAGTTTAGGTCAAGGCAGTCGACAAATCCAGTGATGGAGACAGTGAAGCTATAGCCGATGACAAATCCAGTAATGGAGGCAGTGAGGCTGTAGCAAACGACAAGTCCAGTGATGGAGACAGTGAAGCTATAGCAGATGACAAATCCAGTAATGGAGGCAGTAAGGCTGTATCAAACGACAAGTCCAGTGATGGAAGCAGTTGAGCTCGTAGCAGACGACAAATCCAGTGAAGGAAGATGCGGCTGAGACGGTAGCAGACGACAGCCCAGAGATGAATGCAGCTGAGGCTTTAGCCCATGACAGCCTGATGGTTAAAGCAGCTGAGGCTGCAGCAGACGATAAACTGTTGGGATGAAGCAACTACAGCTAGTGATAACTAGCTAGTAGCAGCTATGATTAGGCCAAATACTTTGCTGCAAGTAGGGCTTAAAGTAGTGCTTAAAATTGTTTCAGTTGTTGCCTGTGGCTAGTTGATTGCATGGCTAGTAACAAAGTTTATGTTAAAACAGATGGAAACTAGCTGTTTAGTAGTAGAGTGTGGATTAGGCTAGCAGTGGATGAGCCAAAACAAAAGTCAAATGTAGTGTAAGCCAAGGCGCAAAATGGCTACTGGCCGGTGTGTAGCCTGTGCTAGCTAAGCTACACAAAAAGACTCTCCCAAATCCAGATCGAAAGACATTTCCCAGTAAGACAAAGTATTGTGCCTAAAATGTCAATCAAGGACTCTTCAAGGTTTCTCTCACCCATCCGGGACAAAAACACACAGATGTAGTAGTGATGTAAATCTTGTTGTTCCAAAGAAGAGTCAGTAGTGCAGAGATCTAGAGGCCCAAAAAGTACCAGGAATCAAGGGAGTAAACTCCACAACGAGACATCCTGTAATCCACTCAGTATGATTTTAAAAGTCCATATATAGTAATTTTCAAAGTTAAAAATAATATTTAAAAGAGATGCCAATTCCAAACAAGAAATAACAATACAGGACAAACATAGTTTCTGCCATCTTGGATTAGGGGCGGGGCAACTGGATGAGGGTTTCTTTGGCCAAGGCCCACCCATAAGGCCGTTTGACTGACATGTCAAACAACCAATTACAGTTCGTTTCGTTCAGCGTCACGTTTCGGGGCGTGGAAATGTCCCCACAACAACAGACCGGCGTGCAACAAGTCAGTCAGCAGTCAGCAGCAGTCACCGGAGGCGCTCGTTAACAACGCTCTGCGTTATTAAATTCACCCACGAACTCGCGCTCATGTTCATCTTATGTCCGCTTTGTCACACGGCCAGTTCAACCTCGTATAAATCAGGTTATGTGTGTAAATCACGTGCCCGTTCATGAGCGCTTAAGGCCTGTATACCCTGGGACGAATTTCACGCGCATTATTCGTCGACGTTTAACGCCTCGTGACTAAACAATGGGCGCCAATGTGAGTGTTCACACCGGCGCGAAAAACGTCACACGTAAAAGCGTCATTTAAAAAAAAAAACGCCTCGGGTTCGTTTTTTTGGTTTGACGCGCAGCATCAAAACCTATCCGACCAACGAGATTGGCGGGTTTGATCACGTGTCTGGTACTTCTGAAGTTACAGTAAAACACAACTTGGGGGCGCTCAAACACAAAACGGTCTTGCCGAGCACACATACGGCGAAGAAGAGATAAGATACCTATGGGCAAGATGAATATTGAGCTGCTGGTCTCGGAGCATAAAGAGCTATATGATATTATTTATATTACTATTTCTGTAATAATACTATATTATAGGGTGACCAACTGTTTTCCCGGGACATGTGTAAAACGGTCACTAGTTTGTGCTTTATAGAAATCTGAGTTGGGATGAGAACTGCGCATAGTGTTAGATTTTGACAAGTGAGGAGAGGAGATAGATAACCGCTCTGCCGACTCTTTGTATTCTTTCTTTTATTTCATTTTTCTATTGTGACCAGATGTTTGTTTGTGTTTTTTTTCTCGCTCGATCCCCATGTATGAGGACGAGTGTAACGTTTGAGTGGTTTTATTAAACACGGGGAAATACGACAACTCTCGTCTCTCGTGCATCTGTTCATCCGACAACTAGCACTATGTTTTTATCTCTGGGCAACATCTCAACTTTGCGTTACACATGTCCTGTTTCCACGACCTGTCCTGGCTGTTTTTAAGTGATGAAAATGTCCTGGTTTTCAAAAAACTGCTGGGAAAGATCAGTTCTACAGCAAAATCTAGATGGACAAACAAGCAGATGAGGAAGAAAAACAGGATAAAGAGGATGAAAACTAAAGATATAAATAGATTTTGTTAGTTTGTTTTTCTTAGTTTGTGAGAGCTATTTTTTGTTACATTTGGATGCATTTCTTTTAGTTATTTATTATTTATATATTTATTTTTCTAATACAGAAGACATTATTTCTATCATTATTTCATTCGTTTTTTTCGATCTGTCATAATAAAACATTGAGACATGAATATGATCACCCTAGTATAGTATTCTATTATTATTATTTCTGTTTTACATTAAGCGCCATCTAATGTCAGGGAATGAATTTGCATGTTCACTCGGCTCATCGTCAGCGAAAAACGCTTGGGTGTGAACACAAAAAACGCATTGAAAAACGCTGACGAATAACGCACGCTGATATTCGTCCCGGTGTGTACGGGCCTTTACTCTTAACAGTCACACTGCGCTGCTCGTGCGTCACAGAATTTTCATAAAGCGCTCCCCGTTCACAGTAACCGGGTCGTGTCCAGCTGTAGCTGTCAGCGAGAATACTTTGAATAAACATTGAATACTCACATGAGTCAGGCTGCGAATGTAAGTTACGTCCCCGCCCCAGCGCGCTCACGCACACCTACTAAATAAACGCCTCACCTCCGGCACCGCGTACTCGCTATTCCCTTTAGCCTTTAGCACATCTAGTGGATGCATAACGCAAACCCAGTCAAACATTTGACTCTGCAGTATCTTATGCACCTTATAATTCAGTGTGCGCCCTATATATTAATACTGAATCGGCCAGCTGCGATGTCAGCGTCTGTTGTTTCATGTTTGCCCACAAACGCAGCTGATATCCCCTTCGCAATTAAGTACTTCACTTGATCTTCCATAATAGATTGGAGGGGACTTACAACCACGTTTAGCTGATCTTGATAAATGCTCATTGTCACTCACATAGGTCACTCATATAAACACAACAGTTTTTCTTCCGCAATCACACGTCTGCGCTTTGTTTCCCGGCGGATCGAAAATAAACGCGACAGTGACGCCCCCCGGAAATCCGATAAAATTCAACCAATCAGATGACGACTTCGACATTCCTGAAGTGTTTCCAGTTAAGTGTACCATATGCATCAGACGTTTAGCCAACATTCCGTGGGCGTGACGTCTGAGGCTGAGACTAGGTCGGGCTTGACTTTTGGGTCACACTTACAGTTGAACACACTTAGTTATTTTCTGCTATTGGTATGAAAACTTTTTCTCTCAAACATTTTTTTTTCTCTCAGATAATTTATTTTCTCGCATGTAATAAAGACAATCCTAGCTCCAGAGACAATAACTTTATTATACAGCTTCCGTAAAATCAAATAATCTGTTAATTTATTATTCTATTATCACTGTAAAGCTGCTTTGAAACAATCTTGTTAAAAGCACTATATAAATGAAGGTGACTTGACTTGTCATACATCTCAACTCTGAAAATATGGACATCTGTATAAATATGGGAACAAAATCCCATTCCTATTGTTTTGTCTCTTGTTCTGGCATTCCATAAGAGCAGATGCCACATTCTGTGACTAAATCATTTATTGTAATAGTATTTCATTAATTATTTAACAAACATTTACCGCAGTATCTCCAGCTGACAGTCTGGGGTCTTCAGTCCATCAGAAAGAAGCTTCACTCCTGAATCCTGCAGGTCATTTGTATTCAGGTCCAGCTCTCTTAGGAAGGAGTTTGAGGATTGAAGAACTGAAGACAAACTCTCACAACACTGAGCAGTGAGATTGCAGCTATGTAGCCTGTGAAGAGAAGAAAACAGCAGTAATGCAATAGTAATGTTTATTAGGTAGGGTTTATAATAATTTGGAAAAACATTTGACTGAAGGGATGTAAGCAAAAGGGATGCACCGATATCAACGGTATCGGGCCCGATACTGCACTCGTGTACTCCAAAAAAATGATCCGATACCAAAAACCGATACCAGGAAGCATGTAACACTGCAGAATAACACTGACAACAGAGTAGAATGGGAATAAAAAAGAAGGCAGTCTATTTAGTAAATATATCTAATTTGTGGAGTATTAAACAGAATATAGAAACGCCTATATAGCTGTAGTGTGCACGCTAATAAGAGAAAAACCCACAGTTGCACAGTGGCGCCAGCTTGATGAGAGCTTCTCTTTTTCACTGACGTCAGCAGAAAGTTTGTAGTTCAGTTACATGTCAATGGCAAAGAAGGTAAAACGAGACATGTAGCTTTTTAATAACATTAACTGGTGAGAGAGCGAGAGAGAGAGAGCGCACTTATGTTGCACGCTATTAATCGTTCACTCAGCACACGAGTCATTTGGATTCAAGTACAAACCCAATTCCATAAAAGTTGGGACACTGTACAAATTGTGAATAAAAACAGAATGCAATGATGTGGAAGTTTCAAATTTCAATATTATATTTAGAATACAACATAGATGACATATCAAATGTTTAAACTGAGAAAATGCATAATTTTAAGGGAAAAATAAGTTGATTTTAAATTTCATGGCATCAACACATCTCAAAAAAGTTGGGACAAGGCCCTTTTTACCACTGTGTGGCATCCCCTCTTCTTTTAATAACAGTCTGCAAATGTCTGGGGACTGAGGAGACAAGTTGCTCAAGTTTAGGAATAGGAATGTTGTCCCATTCCTGTCTAATAAAGGCTTCTAGCTGCTCAACTGTCTTAGGTCTTCTTTGTTGCATCTTTCTCTTTATGATGCGCCAAATGTTTTCTATGGGTAAAAGATCTGGACTCCAGGCTGGCCATTTCAGTACCCGGATCCTTCTTCTACGCAGCCATGATGTTGTAATTGATGCAGTATGTGGTTTGGCATTGTCTTGTTGGAAAATACAAGGTCTTCCCTGAAAGTGACGATGTCTGGATGGGAGCATATGTTGTTCTAGAACTTGGATATACCTTTCAGCATTGATGGTGCCTTTCCAGATGTGTAAGCTGCCCATGCCACACGCACCCATGCAACCCCATACCATCAGAGATGCAGGCTTCTGAACTGAGCGCTGATAACAACTTGGGTTGTCCTTGTCCTCTTTAGTCCGGATGACATGGCGTCCCAGTTTTCCAAAAAGAACTTCAAATTTTGATTCGTCTGACCACAGAACAGTTTTCCACTTTGCTAGAGTCCACTTTAAATGAGCCTTGGCCCAGAGAAAACGCCTGCGCTTCTGGTTCCAGTTTAGATATGGCTTCTTTTATGACCTATATAGTTTTAGCCGGCAACGGTGAATGGCACGGTGGATTGTGTTCACTGACAATGTTTTCTGGAAGTATTCTTGAGCCCATGTTGTGATTTCCATTACAGTAGCATTCCTGTGTGTGATGCAGTGCCGTCTAAGGGCCCGAAGATCACGGGCATTCAGTATGGTTTTCCGGCCTTGACCCTTATGCACAGAGATTGTTCCAGATTCTCTGAATCTTTGGATGATATTATGCACTGTTGATGATGATAACTTCAAACTCTTTGCAATTTTTCTCTGAGAAACGTCTCGGTTACGGATGTAACCCTCGTTACCTGAGTAGGGAACGGAGACGTTACGTCAGAAGTGACGGATTTCGCATGAAAGCCAATCCTCTTCGAGTATTTAACAACGAGCCAATGGCATGCAATGCCTTGGGGCTGCGGAAATTTGCATAGCGTACTCCGCCCTACTCCGTGAGTATAAAAGGAGGAAGTGAACACAACCGCAGTATGTCTTCGCTGAGGAGCCAAGACTGAACTAGGCGTCTACCCAGCGGTACAGCAGAAGTGGCAGGGAGACGTAACGTCTCCGTTCCCTACTCAGGGAACGAGGGTTACATCCGTAACCGAGACGTTCCCTTTCGTAGTCACTTCGAGTTACGTCAGAAGTGACGGAGATTGGGGGTCAGTGCCATCACGCCATCTTCAAGCTGTCTTCCAGTGCCCTGCGAAAGTCTGGACCCCAGAACCTACCTGTTTTTTTTTTCTGGGATCCCACTTTGACACAGGATTACCAAGGTACACTGGGAAACATATCCCGGGAGGGACATGCTACCAGATGCCTACCGAAGGAGGACTTACAAATACACATATGGCCGCATAGGGACTACATATGGAGATCACTAGAGCACCAACCGCAGGTGGCTACTAGAATTTAACTCCAGGGGTGGCAGATGGCTTGCCAAGGGAAGACACATGCTCATAGAGGCTTACAGTGGATAATACACATGAGACAGTTAGCAAAGGGAACCGTGCACATGGAGGCACCTAGCCAGCATCCAGAGCAACAGCAGTGGTGCCTGCATCATCGGTGCTGGAGGACTCAAGGCTTCAATGGAAGACACTGAGGGAAAATCGCACTTATCCAGTCCGAGGAGTGGAGTGGCGAGCAAGCGAAGACACCTGAGCGGGTCCAGTACTGGCGGAAGCGAGTACGTGAGAGGACACTGGCTCAATTCACAGATTGTAGAATCTTGCGAAGGTGTTGGGTGTCGCCCAGCCTGCAGCTCTGCAGATGTCTGTTAGCGAGGCGCCGTGCGCTAGAGCCCAAGAGGAGGCCACACTCCGAGTGGAATGGGCCGTCACACCAAGGGGGCACGGACGGCCTTGCTGCTGGTAAGACAAAGCAATGACGTCCACAATCCAGTGAGACAGCCGCTGCCTTGAGAGAGCCCTTCCCTTCTGGCTCCCCCCATGACAGATAAAGAGCTGGTCTGAGGTCCTGAAACACCGCGTTCTGTCTACGTAGGTGCGGAGAGCACGTACTGGACAGAGCAGTGTCAAGGCTGGGTCTGCCTCCTCCAGGGGCAGCGCTTGCAGGTTCACCACCTGGTCCCGGAAGGGAGTGGTGGGAACCTTGGGCACGTAACAGGGCCGGGGTCTCAGGATCACGTGAGAGTAAGCCGGCCCGAACTCTAGGCACGCTTCGTCAACGGAGAATGCGTGCAGGTCCCCCACCCTCTTGATGGAGGCCAATGCAACCAGGAGTGCTGTCTTCATGGACAGAAACTTTAACTCTACCGATTGCAAAGGCTTAACGGGAGGCCTCTGCAGAGCATTTAAAACTACCGAGAGGTCCCAAGAGGGTACGAGGGGAGGACGAGGCGGATCCTTCCAACCACTATAGATGGATTTTCAAATAGCTTACCTGATCTATCTAAGCTGCAAAGTGAACCCAAACAAACAGATGAATTAGAGGAAATGACTAGCAGTTTAAGCACCATTCTTACTAGTACATTAGATATTGTTGCGCCAATTAGATTAAAAAAGGTTCGAGAGAAAATTAAAGCACCGTGGTACAACAGTGCTACGCATGCTATCAAGAGAGAAACTCGCAACTTAGAGCGTAAATGGAAACAAACTAATTTAGAGGTCTTTAGAATCGCGTGGAAAGACAGTATGTCACGTTATAAAAAGACACTAAAAACAGCCAGGGCTGAGCATCTCCGCAAACTAATCGAAAATAACCAAAATAATCCAAGGTTTTTATTTAACACCGTGGCTAGACTAACAAATAAACAGACATCACCAGAGCAAAATATACCTTTACAGTTTAGTAGTAATGATTTTATGAATTACTTCAATGCGAAAATAGAAAGCATCCGAAACAAAATTATAAATGTACAATCCGCTATGGTGTCTTATGATTCAGCTTCAATTATGGACCCTCTAGAACAACTAAACCGCTTTACAACGATAGGACAGGAGGAGCTAAATAAACTTATCATTGCATCTAAACCAACAACTTGTTTATTAGATCCAATACCCACTAAACTACTGAAAGAACTATTACCTGTAGTGGAAGAGCCTCTCCTCAATATTATTAACTCGTCTTTATCTTTAGGTCATGTCCCAAAAATATACAAGCTGGCTGTAATAAAACCGCTCATTAAGAAACCGCAATTAGATCCAAATAACTTGGCAAATTACAGACCCATTTCAAATCTTCCATTTATGTCCAAAATACTTGAAAAAGTAGTGTCCGCTCAATTGTGCTCTTTTTTGCAAGAAAATGATATCTATGAAAAATTCCAGTCAGGATTCAGACCGCATCATAGTACAGAAACTGCGCTAGTTAAAATTACAAATGATTTACTTTTAGCTTCTGACCAAGGCTGTATCTCAATACTAGTCCTACTTGATCTTAGCGCTGCGTTCGACACTATAGATCATATAATACTCTTGGATCGACTACAAAACTTCACCGGTGTCCAGGGACAGGCATTAAGCTGGTTTAGATCGTACTTATCGGACCGTTCTCATTTTGTCTGTTTAAATGGGAAAAAATCAAAGATAACGTCAGTAGACTATGGAGTACCGCAAGGATCAGTTTTAGGCCCTCTGCTATTCTCAATATATATGCTGCCACTTGGTAATATTATAAGAAAACATGGAATTAATTTCCACTGTTACGCTGACGACACTCAATTATATATTTCATCACGACCAGATGAAAACACTAACTCATCTAAAATGACAGAGTGTCTCAAAGATATAAAATGCTGGATGACGCGTAATTTCCTGCTATTAAATTCAGATAAAACGGAGGTATTACTTATTGGTCCAAAAAACTACTCACAAAACCTCTCACAATACAACTTTAATATAGACGGATGTCCTGTTACTTTATCCACAACAGTAAAAGACCTGGGTGTTATACTAGACCGCAACTTGTCGTTCGAAAATCATATTTCATATGTTACAAGAACAGCCTTTTTCCACCTTAGAAACATTGCTAAGCTACGTAACATGCTATCTATTTCTGATGCAGAAAAATTAGTTCACG